CCCCCCTGGATCCGCCCTTGGCCTGATCTCCTGATCTGAATGAAAACTTCTTTTTAAAAAACCACTCGAAACGCGTAAAATTAATTTTTTTTTTAACGTTTTAAGCTTCTACTATTATAAATTGTTCTCTCTAATTAACAATTCCCAACTAAACCGACTGTTTTTTTTATCCTTTTGCAAAAAAATATACACTTCGGTGAACAATCTTCGGTCAAAAAGCCAAAAATGGGTTTCCATTTTTGAAAACACAGGATAAGTAAAATTCAAGCTTTTCAGTGTTCTCTTATTTTAACAGGCCCCAAATGCGTAATGCATTTTTTTGATTTTCTTGGAATTATGGAAAAATGCCTGGGCGTTGCGATCAGGAATTCGAGCAAAGCTCGAGTGTTAAAAAATCAATTAAAACTGGAAGCAGATCCAAAGTTGATATTGACGCCTTTTAATAGAGAAAGTATTGCATTAAACGTGGAGCTATTTTCCAATTTGACACTTCATTCAATCATTTTTCTGCGAATTTTTCAACTCTAGACTATTGTTATATCTACAGAGGTTGTCAAACGGTTTGTTCAAAAAATTGCAAGTGACTGGTGAAAGCAGATTGAAAGGTATTATTAAAGCCTTTCCATAGAGCAAATGTGGTTCTAAAAATAAGCTAATTTACTGATTGGTGTCATTTTTTGTTAATTTTTGTCGAATTTTTGAATTCGAATGAATATTGTTGCCTGCACAGACCGTATAACCATTTTTTCGATATAGCTAAAAAATTTAAAAAATTGCGAAAAATTGAATGCGGGGCTGCTTACTGTTCTCTTGTTTGAAGTTGTGTGTGCAGTATTTTTCAAAAATGTGTCAAATTCGGTCGAAAACAATAACGTCCTTTAATAGAGTAAATCTTGACCTAAATTTGCTGCAATTTGCATTTGCATTTTCGAAAATGTTTGGCAAATTTTTGAAATTCAAGTCGATTTCCCGTCAAAAATGTGCAATAATATTTCCAAAAAATTGTCTGTTAGAGCTGGAAGCGAGTTGAAAGTGGATGACAACGCTATCCAATAAAGGAAATGTTGATCTCAACATCGGGTGATGAATTTAGCACAGCTTTTATGAATTTTTGGTGATTTTTTTAAACTTAAAGTTTCTTGAAAATCTTGAGCAATTGTTAAGAAAAAACTTCATCAAAATCTTAATTAGACAGAAATTTCAGATTAGCAGCTTTTAGCCGATAAACCATTTCTTTAAACTTGCGATTTTGCCTCATTTTGGATCAGTTTTAGGTGAATTTTTGTATTGAAGCCGCGTATGGAGCTCTAAGTACCTATAAAAAATGTGTAAGGTTTGCTTCAAAAATTCCTCAGCGAAAAGTGAAAGACCACCTAAAGTTAAAAAAACACGCCCTTTAATAGAGGAGATATTGTTCTAAATGTGTAGATA